TCCAGAGAACCCTCCCGATCAAACATTGAAACTTGCAAAACCTCCGGGCCACGATCCTCGATCCTCCACGACGACGACGGCATCCCTTAAGATCTAGCATCGCGAACATAATTTGTCCGCATCGTGAGAGGCCACAATCACAGGAGCCCCTGGCCCGAACTTTCTGCGCCCTCAGGGACGCCGTCAGGAGGGATATGATCGGGGGGGAGCGCATCGCCCACCAAGTGCCCACTCGTCGCCGACGTGGGCCTGATGGCTCACGCCGAGCAGGAAGTTCCGCAGTGTGTCGCCGATTTCAGATTAAAGCTCCCCCCCCTTGAGCCAATCCCTCCCCCCCTCTCCTTCACCCTCCTCCTCCTCCTCTTCCTCCTCCTCCTCCTACTACTACTCCTCCTCCCTCCTCCCCCTCCTTCTCCCCTCCTCCTCCTCCTCCTCCTCCTCCTCCTCCCCTCCTCCTCCTCCCCCTCCTTCTCCCTCCTCCTCCTCCTCCTCCTCCTCCTCCTCCTCCTCCTCCTCCTCCTCCTCCTCCTCCTCCTCCTCCCCCTCCCCCTCCCCCTCCCTCCTCCTCCTCTCCTCCTCCTCCTCCTCCTCCTCCTCCTCCTCCTCCTCCTCCTCCTCCCCCTCCTCCTCCCCCCCTCCTCCTCCTCCTCCTCCTCCTCCTCCTCCTCCTCTCCTCCTCCTCCTCCTCATTCTCCTCCTCCCCCCTCCTCCCCCCCACCTCCTCCTCCTCCTTCTCCTCCTCATCCTGCTCCCCCCCTCCTCCCCCTCCTCCTCCCCCTCCTCCCCCTCATCTTCCTCCTCCTCCTCCTCCTCCTCCTCCTCCTCCTCCTCCTCCTCCTCCTCCTCCTCCTCCTCCTCCTCCTCCACGTAATCGACTACACGTAAGAGTGACCGTTCGCCGGAGTGACCTTTGGTGCGGGCCCATTGGGATCTCCCGATCGCCGAGAGCGATGCGATTGTAGCGTCTTTCGCGCTTGTGTTTGACCCCCACCCGCGGCCCCCCAAGAAGCCGCGCACCAAAGGTCACTCTTCCTCAGGGTCACTCTTGCGTGTGGGAGAGGTTAACGCCGCGGGCTGTGGAACGATTTGGACGTTTCGCAAACGGCCGATTCAAGGTTGAACGATCCCCGCGGTGTCGGGAATTAACGCCAGGGCCGACACGACACGAACCCGCCGTACATGTATCCAGGGGCGCCGATGGTCCATGTCTGCGGCGAGGCTCCCTGGTGAATACGTGTACGGTAGGTTCGCATCGTGTCGACTGGCGGCGACCCCGCTGGCGTCGTTCGACGTTGAAAGCCGCCGGCGACCCAGAATCCGTCGATCCCCGTGGTGTCAAAAAACACAGCCGAAGTCGGCACGACACGAACCCGCGGTAATGCCCGCCCCTGGGCGATTCCTTCTTGCAGTCAACCCGTAACGTGTAAGGACAATGGGCAAGTTTCCAAGGTGACCTTTGCAACCTTCCCTTTCGGTCCACCCTCTGCCGCTTTCGCTGGCCGCGCTCCGCTCGCACGGTGTCAACATGGCCTCCCGAGGCCCTTGTATCTTTACAGTCGGACCGAGATATAGGGGCGAGGTCGGCCAGGGGATGGTATCCTAATGTCCTTCGTGTTTGCCAGAGGTTCTTGTGCATCCTGGGGATGGGTACCCTCGGATGTTCTGTTTGTCTTGGCCGACGGAGGGCCTCGTGATCTCGAAAGATCTTCTTCTGGCCTGGGTCTGGCTGCACCGTGCGTCCTTGCTGTGCGGGTTGACTAGATCGTCGCTTCCGAGCATCTTGTTCCTCTTTCTACTTCCCCTCCTCCTCCTCACGATTGTAGCCACTCAGATGAATGAGCTCGACCTTCCGCTCAACTTGGACAAGACCTGCTTCCTGTGTTCGAGCCCTGAGTTGCTCGAGGCTCTGCTGGACGACCCCGACTGGCCGTTCGACGAGTCCTTCCTGGCCACCACCCACCGTGACCTGGGTGGCGACGCTTCTGACGGCAAGGCTCGCCGCGTGCCTGTGCAAAACAAGCGCCTCCTCGAATCGTCGGCCGCTGCGACTCGGCTCTCGAAGATTGGGCGGGGGAGGGAGGCTTCTCGGGTGCACAGAGCGGGCCCAGTCGCTAAGGCCACGTGGGGGGCGCACATTAATGGTCTTGGGAATTCGGCTTTGAGGACTCTGAGGGTGGCCTCTGCCAGGTCTTTTGGCCCCCTCCAGCCTGGATCCTCCCTCGGCCTCACCTTCCTTCTTTGCGGGGCCCCCCAGCGGGATCCTTTTGTTTCGACGACGGTGGACGCCGTCAAGTCATTTGTTTCTGTCTGGTGGCACCGCAGTGTCACGAAACAGGTCCTCCTCTCTGCGTTTGACGATGCACTCGTGTCTGCGAGGAAACCTAAACCCTGGGGCTCCGCCAAGCAACCTCTTGCCGCTCTAGTGTTAACGCTTGCTCGGATTGGTTGGAGGTTGGATGTCCCAAACGAGGTCCTGATTGACCAGGCGGGTCGCTCCTGGAGTTTGTCTGTGTTTTCCCCGGCCTTCTTCGCCCTTCGCGTGCGCGAGGCGTGTGAGGAAGCGATTGTAATGGAAGAGCAGGCTAGGCAGAGTGATTTTGGAGCCGAATGGCGCGGCCCCATCTGTCTCAAGCCGGCTCTGGATCTGATCTCGAAGCAAGGCAGCTTGGTTTGATCATTGTCGTCACTGCTTGCGCAGCCTTGTTACCAACAGGTATTGGTGCCAGCAGCGGTTTCATGACGCCTGTCAGGACATACCCCCTGCCTGCCTGGCCTGCCAGGCCCCATCAGGTACCATGTTTCATCGTCGATTTGATTGCCCCGCCCACGATGCGTGGCGACGGGATGTTTTGAGCCCCGACCTGCGCCGGGCAGCGGGTAGAGTGCGCCTTCTTTCGTCTAGGGCCCAGGAGTTGTTCGCCAGGTGTGTGCTCCCAGACCCCACTTGCTGGTTCTCGCGCCCCTCCGAACCCCCTGAGGCCACGGTCTATAGGCACAATTGGCCTGCCGACGGGCTGGTGCTCGGGGAAGGGGCCCATGTGTTCTTGGACGGCTCGTGTTTCGAGCCTGCCCTCCCTAGGATTCGATCGGCGGGATGGGCGGTGATCGTTACGGACGGGTGGGGGAAAGTTGCTCGTGCGATTTGGGGGCGCGTGCCCGTGTGTGAAGCTCCAGCCCAGGTCGCCCGTGACGGTGAGGACTATGCAGTGGTCTCTCTCGTTCGCCATGCTACTGTGTTCCCTGGGGCCAACTTGTATGGGGACTGTGCCGGAACTCTCGGGTATGTTTCGGACCCCGCGGGAGCTGTTTGTCCCGATAATGTTCGGGCGCATATGTGGCAGCATGTGTTTGATAAGCTCGACGGAGTGCGGTGGCGTAAAGTTCCTGCCCATTGCACCCTTCGTGATGTCGAGAACGGTAAGCTCAGCCGTCTCGAGTATCTCGGCAATAAGGCTGCCGATGAATATGCCAAGCGAGGCGCCTCATTGGGTCGAATCTCTGCCGCTGATCGTGCCGTCGTCGATGGTTGCTTTGAGTTGTCCCGGCTGTTGTGCAAGTTCTCAGCTGAGCAAGAAGCTCGGATCGGGGACAGTGGGCAGTTCGACCATGTCGGCATCGATTGGCTGAGGCACATCACCCTTGAGGTCCCTCCTCTCCCTGATGATCCTCCTCCTCCTTCCGAGCCTTCTCCTCCTGGCCGTTTTGATTGTGGCTCCGTACGGCGGCCTCCTATTGGGAGTGGCGGGACGGGTCGGGAGTCGGGAGGGGTGGGCGACGACGGTGAGGAGGGCAGGGCCGAGTGGCCCGACCTCCATGTCTGGCCGGCCCGCGCCCACGACATCATAGAGTGTGGGGTCACTGACCCCGCTGGGGCGGCCGCTGGCTCCCTGGCCTTCTGCACCCGTTGCGGTTCAGTCTGCACCGTCGGAGGGCACGGTGGCAAGACTGCTCTCGCGTCGGATTGTCTGGGCCATCGGTCCCAGGGTCGTGAGAGGCAGTTGGCTTGGATTTTGCAGGGCCGCCATCCTTCGAAGAAAGATTTTCGGGTCTCGCGAGCGACCGTGTTATCGGACCCAGCTCGAGACTACCTCGCCGCCAAGATGGGTCTGGACGACCTCCCGTTGCTCGCGCCACCTCGGTCCAGAGGCTCTCTGGCTTCTTCGTCGGGCGGGATTGGGAGGGTTTGGGCTGGGACTGGGGTCGACCTTCAGCGAGGCCTTTCACTTTACGGGTTCAGCTCTCGGGAAGAGGCTGAATCGCTCGGCGCTCGAGCGCAAGAGCGCCGACGGCAGGTTGTGCCGCCCGAGGAGGACTTGGACCCTCCCTAACTCGTTTGGAGTTTGTTTGATGCATGTTTAATGTGGTGGCACCTTTCTAGCCGTTGCCGAGCTCCTCCTCCTCCTCTCCCCCCCCTCCTCCTCCTCCTCGTCCTCCTCCTCCTCCTCCTCCTCCTCCTCTTCCTCCTCCTCCTCCTCCTCCTCCTCCTCCTCCTCCTCCTCCTCCTCCTCCTCCTCCTCCTCCTCCTCCTCCTCCTCCCCCCCTCCTTCTCCTCCTCCCTCCTCCTCCTCCTCTCCTCCTCCTCCTCCTCCTCCTCCTCTCCTCCTCCTCCTCCTCCTCCCCCTCCTCCTCCTCCTCCTCCTCCTCCTCCTCCTCCTCCTCCTCCTCCTCCTCCTCCTCCGCCTCCTCCTCCTCTCCTCCTCCTCCTCTCCTCCTCTCCTCCTCCTCCTCCTCCTCCTCCTCCTCCTCCTCCTCCTCCTCTTCTCCTCTCTCTCTCCTCTCCTCCTCCTCCTCCTCCTCCTCCTCCTCCTCCTCCTCTCCTCCTCCTCCTCCTCCTCCTCCTCCTCCTCCTCCTCCTCCTCCTCCTCCCTCCTCCTCCTCCTCCTCCTCCTCCTCCCCTCCTCCTCCTCCTCCTCCTCCTCCTCCTCCTCCTCCTCCTCCTCCTCCTCCTCCTCCTCCGCCCCCCCTCCTGCGGCGGGCGGGCCCTGCAGCCGCGCTCTACCAGACCCCCTATCTCGGCCCGAGGCGGCCGCCAGGATCGCCGCAGGATCGCCGCAGGCCGAGCGCGCGCGGGGGCGCCAGAGGCCCAGCCATGTCCGCCTCCCTGAGGTTCGGGCCGGACGAGAGGGCGGGACCGGGAATCGTCGGCTAGACGTATGAGTGACCTTTCGCCGGAGTGACCTTTGGTGCGGGCACAGATGGGCCCCCAGGTGGCTGAGAACGAAGCAGGAGTAGCGGCTTGCGCGCCCAGGTTTGGTCCCCCCGCGGCCACCAAAAAGCCGCGCACCAAAGGTCACTCTTACCCAGGGTCACTCTTGCGTGTAGCCGGAATCGGGAGCACCTCGGGGGTCCCAGGAGCCCACGGCAGGGCCGAGGCGTCCCCACGGCCAGCACCGTCGTGGACTCTCGGGGGCGAGAAAAAGCAAGTGTGTCGGGAGCCTTGAGACGGGGGTCGATGCAAACGGGGGTCAGCCAGGGCGCCCGACCTTGCAGGATCCTGCAGGACCAGGGTCGCACTGGCCCGGGCTTGGGTGCAGGATCCTGCAGGATCTTGCAGGATCCTTCGCGTTGGCCCCGGCTTGAGAGCAGGATCTTGTAGGATCTTGCAGGATTCTGCAAGGCCGCAAGGCCTGACTGACCCGGGTCTGGATTGACCCGGGTCAGAAGATCCCCGATGGAAAGATGGGAGGGGGGGGCTACGAAATCCGTTGCGTGCAGCTGGTTTCCGCCCCGCCGCCTGGCCCATTCCTTGATACATGGGCGCTTCCCGGGACCAGGAGGCGCCAGGCGCCATGGAATTTGGGGGTCGCGTAGTGGGGGGGGCGATGCATATGGGGGGCAGCGAGGGCTGCAGAAAAGGGAACCTTCAGGGCCCCTGGAGGGGCCCTTCAGGACCGAGAAGGGGGCCTTGAGATGCCCGAGAAGTGCACCTTCTGCACCTTGCTCCCCCCCCGCCCCGCTGACCGCCCCCCCCACGAAGCGACGCCCAGGAAGGCCAACCAGCTGCGTGAGCTGACTCTGTGCCCTGCCCTTTGCTGTCCTGCCCCCTCGTCCCCCCCCCCCGAGAGGTCTCGCCCGCAGAGCGCCGCGGGGACGCCGAGCTCCCCGAGGTCCCACCCGCGGACCTCGTGGGCGAACAGCACGAGGCAGGCTCGTGTCGAGCCGACGCGGCGGCGATCCTGCCTCGGGCGTCCAAGGCTGAATCGGCGGCGCGCGCAAGGGGGGCAGGGGGAGGGGGGGGGGCGGCTGCTTAGAAGCTCACCACCCACCAAACCGCCCCAACCCATCCCGAAGGCTTCAATTTGCACTCCATTCCCAGTTGGGGGGGTGGGGGAACATGGAACAAAAACACATGAAGCCCGTACCCCCCCCCAACCCGAAGTTCGGGTCTTCGGGTTGGGTTGGGGTGGTCTGGTAGGTAGTCAGAAGCACCCCTGGTGGTCCCTAGAAGGCGCGGGCGTTGCCTGTAGATCATAAGAACCGCGCCTTCCAAGGAGCAGCTTCCTTCTGAGAAGCCTCCCCCCCTCCCCCTATCCCTCTTGTGCTCGCCGCCGGCCGAACGCCGTCAGAGGCCCCGAATCGGCCAATATGGAACACCTGGCGATCGGAAAACAGCGGATCGTTCCAGGTTGAACGATCCGCGCGGTGTTAGAAACCAACGCCAGCGTCGTCACGACACGAATTTGCAGTATCCTTATCCGCGGCCTCACAGGCAGGGCCCCTGGGCCGCTACCCCCGCAGATACGGGACGCTTTCTCACCGATGCCCCGCGCGGAACGCATCCGTACGACCGCGTATCCGCGGGCTCGCGCCCCGTAGTCCAGATCGCGAGGGCGCGGATTCGGCTATTGTTCAGAGCCACGGATCATCAGGGCTGGGAGCGGCCAGGGGCAGCTGCATACTCGCGCCTCGGGGGCCCCAACCGGAATCACCCTGAACCACAGCAGTCCCGCTTCATTCGGGCGTCCAACCCTCCGAATCATCAGAGCCGGGGGCAGTCAGGGGTAGAGATTGTTTGTTGTTCATTATTTTGCTGATCGGCGCGGGCCCTCGCACGCCCCCCCCCTCCCGCCCCCCCATGGAGGAGATCTTGGCTGTTGTTTGGCGCCCGTTTCGAGCGGGTGGAGTCTCCCCCGCAGGACGCAGCGTTGCAAACAGACGCCATTAAGCAGAGGTCCGGAGCCAGACACCCCCCCTCTCCCTGCCCCTTCCGCCCAATTGTCGAAACGCCGAACAGAGAAACTCTCACGTAACTACAGATTCGCGCCTCGGGGGCCAAACCCAGAGAGTTACCATGGACCGCAGTTATCCCAGATGACTCGGGCCTCCGAGTGTTTCGCCGCTCGTGAGGACCACCGCGGAGGCCCCGAGCTCCCCGAGATCCCGCCCGTGGACTTCTGCGGGGTCCCGCGGGAGGAAGCCCGGAGAGTGAGTCGAAGCGTGGGCCGGGGCGGGCGCGCCGCGGGTGCCCCACGGCACCCCGTCTGGGGCGCCCGGGAGAGCGATCTTGCACTTCTCGGCGACAGCTCCTTGGCATCGCTCGGACGTGTGCATTGTTTTTTTTTCCGGCGAGGACCATCGAGGAGCATCCTTGATCATTCGGCGAAGAAACCACGCACGAAACCGAACAAAAACACAGGAAATGGACGTCCGAGCGATGGCAGGGCTCAGGGGCGCCGACAGGGGGGATAGGCTCAGGGGGGGGGGGACGCAGCGACCCCCCAGGCGCCCATTCGTCGCCGACGCGATCCCGATGGCGCCCCCCACCCTGCCCAGGAACTTGCAGACTCGCTATCGGGGACCCATCGTGTCTCGCTGATTCCAGCTCAGAGTTTCCCCACCAAAGCTGGTCCCCCCTTATCGTTGCCCCTCAGTAGCGGGCGTGACCAGGGGGGGGGAGGGGGAGAGGGCCGGTGAAGTCACCATTCGCGCTGGCGCCGTCTGGGAACGCCTAGGAATGGCTGGTTCTGAGACGGCGCTCGCGCGAGTTTTGACGTGACCAGGGGCGGGGGGGAGGGGGGGGGGCAGTGCCGGTCACGGGCGTTATCGCGAGCATCAACATGTTAGCCAGCGTAAACCCCAAACAGTGTGTGGACCCCAACAGTGTGCTTCCAGCAATCTATGTCGTGCAATATGTGTGGAGCAGTTCTATGTGTGCAATATGAGCAACATAGCTTGTGACAAATATATCGTGAAGCAACTGATGTGCATCATACGGTGTGCAGTCGTTTTGAGGCAACATATGTTCAGTAATATACGCGGTGCAGTCTATGTGGTGCTCCATACACATGCATATCATAATATATATATATATATATGTATATATATAGCGATTCCTATTTATATACTTTTATAGGGCTGGGGACCCCAGACGGACCCCAGACGGAGCCCCCCCCCCCAAAGGAGTTTCGGCCTTCCCGAGATTTTCGGGCGGTCCCAGAGGCGCCCCAGACGGCTCGAGATATTCCCAAGAGGGATCCACGAGCGCTCCCAGACAGCCCAAGAGCGCTCCAAGAGACCCCAAGACCGTCCAAGGGGGCCCCGAGACGCCCCAAGAGACCTCCAAGAGGCTTCCCAAGAGGGCCCCAAGAGGGGAATGTCATTGATTTTTGCATTGTTTTCATAAGTTGTTCTGGTTCTCCCTTTTTCGGGCCAACATCAGCCCGAACCGGCCCAAGAGGCTCCACAGATCGCCCCAAGATAGCCCAAGAGGCCCCCCAAAGAGCCCGAAAACGATCCAAGAGAATCCCAAGGCAGCCCAAGAGGGCTCCAAGACGGGCCCAAAAGAGCCCAAAGAGCGCCCAAAGAGGCACCCAAGAGGGCCCGGCCCCAAGACGCCGTCAGGAGAGCCCCACGACGGCCAAAGGCCTCCACTCCAAAGTATTTGCGCCCATGTCACGCCATCACCTCCGTATAACGTCTCCCAAGCTACTCATGCCCCGCATTGGGCAGGGGTTGGGTACGTCGCCAGGGTAATTTCCCAACCCTCCTTGGTTGGGTATTCGTTTTGAGCACTGTGGTCGCGTCCCTCCTCCTCCTCCTCCTCCTCCTCCTCCTCCTCATCCCGCCTCCCGCCTCCCTCTTGTATCCTCTCGCCGTGTGGGTGCCGCGAGTGTATGCGTGTGCATCTTGCATGCGGTACCTCTTGTGTGCATCTTGCCTGGGGTGATGCGATCTGCGATACTGTCGCCACTTTCGAGGGCTGCTGGTGGGTCCAGCGGAGTGAGGCACCGCGCAGATCTGAGCGGGACCTCGCCGTCCCTGGGGGGCTGCGATCTGCGAAACTGTCGCCACTTTCGAGGGACCTGAGCGAGACCTCGCCGTCCCTGGGCTGCGATCTGCGAAGGTGTCGCCACTTTCGAGGGCTGCTGTTGGGTCCAGCGGAATGAGGCACTGCGCAGATCTGAGCGAGACCTCGCCGTCCCGGGGGGGGTGCGATCTGCGAAACTGTCGACACGTTCGAGGGCTGATGGTGGGCCCAGCGGAGTGAGGCACCGCGCAGATCTGAGCGGGACCTCGCCGTCCCTGGGGGGCTGCGATCTGCGAAACTGTCGCCACTTTCGAGGGACCTGAGCGGGACCTCGCCGTCCCTGGGGGGCTGCGATCTGCGACACTGTCGCCACTTTCGAGGGCTGCTGGTGGGTCCAGCGGAGCGAGGCACCGCGCAGATCTGAGCGAGACCTCGTCGTCCCTGGGGGGCTGCGATCTGCGACATTGTCGCCACATTCGAGGGCTGCTGGTGGGTCCAGCGGAGTGAGGCACCGCGCAGATCTGAGCGGAACCTCGCCGTCCCTGGAGGGCTGCGATCTGCGACACTGGCGCCACTTTCGAGGGCTGCTGGTGGTCCTGCGGAGTGAGGCACCGCGGGGATCTGAGCGGGACCTCGCCGTCCCTGGGGGGCTGCGATCTGCGACACTGGCGCCACTTTCGAGGGCTGCTGGTGGGTCCTGCGGAGTGAGGCACCGCGGGGATCTGAGCGGGACCTCGCCGTCCCTGGGGGGCTGCGATCTGCGACACTGTCGCCACTTTCGAGGGCTGCTGGTGGGTCCTGCGGAGTGAGGCACCGCGGGAATCTGAGCGGGACCTCTCCGTCCCTGGGGGGGCTCTGGAGAGTTGCTGCGGGATACGTTAGGCGCAACGGGCGCATGGCACAGCCAAGGGGGGTGATTTGTGAAACAGACCATCTTCTGGGCGATGGCCATAACGTTACGCCTACACGTATCCCGCGGGGGCTCTCAAGAGCTGCTGTGGGATACGTTGGGTGCAACGGGCGCATGGCACAGCCAACGGGGGTGATTTGTTATACGTAGCCCTTAGATCTTGATCGGGGGCCTGCGAGCCTTCCGATTGCTGCTCGCAAAATCACATGCGTCCATGTTACGTCATCGCCCCCGTTGTGGCAATCCTGATGTACGTATGCCCCGCATTGCAAAAAGGTTGGGTACGTCGCCAGGGTAATTGCAGAAGGGATCTCTCTCTATATATATATATATATATATGTATATACATATATACATAATATATATATATATGATATATATATATATAATATATATATATATATTATACATATATATGTATATATATATATATATGTGTAACTAAGGGCAAGCACTGTTTGGGGAATGGCGGGCTCCAGGGGCACTGTTTTGGCGCAGCCTGTGGCAGGAGCCGTGGCATTCGTCCCTCGTTGGAGGGACGTCGCCCCGGGGAGGCGTTTGGGCCCTGCCAAGGAAGAAGGGGCTCTCCAAGATCCCGTCCGTGGACAACTGCGGCACGCTCACGCCGAGGAGCGCCGCACACGTCTTCCCTCGTGCTCTTTTGCTCCAGCCTTCGTCTGGCCCGCTCCGGAAAACCCGAGCCCAAGACGTTGGCATTTGCCTCCTGGGGGGTCGCAAGGCGGAGGAGGCGAGCCCAGAGATCCGAGGCTCCAAAAAAAATTGGAGCGGCAGGATTTGGGCAGTTTTCGGCCTCTGGAGGCCCTCGCCGGGCCTCGGGAGCGTCAAAAAACCACTCGGGACGAAAAACCGGTCCTGGGGAAGTGGTCCGGACCTCCGGGGCCCACGCATCAAAAATTCGAGGCGAGGCCGACCGAGAGCGCCAAAAGGGCCTGCAGACTTGTGTAGTCCCAAACCCGGACAGCGGAGAGTGGGACAGGCCTTCCAACGCCCTCTCGGAGGAGCTCTGGGAGCTCTATGGGAGCGGAGCTTCCGAGGGAGCTTCTGGAGAGCTTCCGGTCACACGTATTGGGAACCAGTACCAAAGGCCTCTCAGGACACGCAGGCCTCATTTCGATGCCGCCGATTCGGTTCGATTCGATTTCGATGGATTCCGATTCCCACTCGATTCGATTTCGAATTCCGATTTGGGATCCGATCTCTCACTGGAGGCCTACCTAGCCTGCCGATGCCTGCCGACTCGACTTCTCCCGACTTGGCTGCCGATTTCCGCCGATTCGATTCATTTTGGACAGGGCTGGACCTAAACGTTGTTTTGCTGGGTTTCGGCTGTGTTTTGATTTTCGCTTTTGGCAGGGAGTTTCAGGAAAACAGGTAGGGCAAAACGAAAGACAAATCGAAAACAAAACGAAGAACAACGTTGAGGTCCAGCCCTGATTTGCCATCGCCGATCCGACTTCTCGATTCGAATCGATTCTGGGCTCTCCTGGACACGCTGCGACTGCAGGGGAACTCGGCGGCAGCCGCCGAGGGAGGAGGCGGGAGGGGGCAGGCCTCCTCCGAGGGCGGCGGGCCTCAGCGGGCCAACTGAGGGAGCCTCACTATCTCACCTCCTCCTTCCTCACCTCCTCCTCATTCCGCCTACCCCCTCTCCTCCCCCCTCTTCCTGTCACCCATCCTCCCCCTCCTCTCATAACCCTTCCTATCCTACTTCAAGGGTGTACTAACTGCCTGCCCATCCTCTGCACTACTCATCCTCAACTCACTCCTCCTCCTCCTTCCCTCTCATCAGTTCCCCCCTCCTCCTCCTCCTCCATCCCTTCCTCCTTCATACCATCCTTCCTTCCTTCCTCCTTCTACTCATTCCCCCATTCCTCTTCCTTCCCCCTGCCTCTTCCTCCCCCATACTCAAGGGTTCCCGGAATTCCTCCCCCCTACTCCTCCTCCGTGCCTCCCATCCTCCTCCTCCCTCATCCCTCATTCCCTCCTACTCCTCATTCCTCCCCTCCCTCCTCCTCCTAATCCTCCTCCCTCCCCTCGCTCCCTTCTCCCTCCCTCCCTCCCTCCTCCTCCCTCCCTCCCTCACTCCCTCCCTCCCCCTCCTCCTCCTCCCCCCCCTCCTTCCCTCCTCCTCCTCCTCCTCCTCTCCTCCTCCTACTCCTCCCTCCTCCGGCATCTAAGAGGCTCCTGATCCTGCCCTTCTCCTCCTCCTCCCTCCTCCTCTCCTCCTCCTTTTCCTCCTGCCTCCTCCTCCTCCTCCTCCTCCTCCTCTCCTCCTTTTCCTCCCTCCTCCTCCTCCTCCTCCTCCTCCTCCTCCTCTCACGTTCCTCCTCTCAAGTCCTCCGCACCTCCCCCCCTCTCCTCTCTCCTCCTCCTCCTCCTCCTCCTCTCCTCTCCTTCCTCTCCTCCTCCTCTCCTCCTCTCCTCCTCCTCCTTCCCTCATCCTCCCTCTCCTCCTCCCTCCCTCCCTCCCTCCCTCCCTCCCTCCCTCCTCCCTCCCTCCTCCTCCTCCTCCTCTCCTCCTCCTCCTCCTCCTCCTCCTCCTCCTCCTCCTCCTCCTCCTCCTCCTACTACTCCGCCTCCTCCTCTTTAGAAGGCCAGAAGCCTCTTTGGAGCAGTTTTGAAGCTTCCTGTGGACCGTTTTGGTGCCTCTTGGGGGCCGTTTTGAGACCTCTTCTGGGCCTCTTCGGGCCTCTTGAGGGCCTTTTGGGTGCCTCTTGGGGCCTCTTGGGCGCCTCTTGGGGCTTCTTGGGGCGGAAGGCTAGTTTTTCCAAACCCTCGTTGGTTGGGTATTCGTTTGCACTGCTCGCGCGTCCTTCCTTCCTCCCGCCTCCTGCCCTCTCTTCGCCGTCGCTGGGGGGCTGCGATCTGCGAAACTGTTGCCACTTTCGAGGGCTGCTGGTGGGTCCAGCGGAGTGAGGCACCGCGCAGACCTGAGCGAGAGCTCGCCATCCCTGGGGGGCTGCGATCTGCGAAACTGTCGCCACTTTCGGGGGCTGCTGGTAGGTCCAGCGGAGTGAGGCACCGCCGAGACTTGAGCGAGACCTCGCCGTCCCTGGGTGGCTGCGATCTGCGAAACTGTCGCCACTTTCGAGGGATGCTGGTGGGCCCAGCGGAATGAAACGGCGCCGAGACCTGAGCGAGATCTCGCCGTCCTTGGGTGGCTGCAATCTGCGAAACTGTCGCCACTTTCGAGGGCTGCTGGTTGGTCCAGCGGAGCGAGGCACCGCGCAGACTTGTGCGAGACTTCGTCGTCCCTGGGTGGCTGCGATCTGCGACACTGTCGTCACTTTCGGGGGCTGCTGGTGGGTCCAGCGGAGTGAGGCACCGCGCAGACCTGAGCGAGACCTCGCCGTCCCTGGGTGGCTGCGATCTGCGAAACTGTCGCCACTTTCGGGGGCTGCTGGTGGGTCCTGCGGAGTGAGGCACCGCGGGGATCTTAGCGGGACCTCGCCGTCCCTGGGGGGCTGCGATCTGCGAAACTGTCGCCACTTTCGAGGGCTGCTGGTGGGTCCAGCGGAGTGAGGCACCGCCGAGACCTGAGCGAGACTTCGCCGTCCCTGGGGTGGCTGCGATCTGCGAAACTGTCGCCACTTTCGGGGGCTGCTGGTGGGCTCGCCACTTTCGAAGGCTGCTGGTGGGTCCAGCGGAGTGAGGCACTGCGCGGACCTGAGCGGGACCTCGCCGTCCCTGGGCGGTCATGTCATGTTGTTGCTGCCCCGCCGACGTTTCAAGCCCCTTGCCCACAGTCTCCTTTTGGACCTTGCGTCTTCCTTAGTGATTCAGGGGTTCACTTAGTTACTCATCGTTTTCCTTATGATTGGAGACCTGCGAACCTTCCGAATGCCGCTCGCAGAAGGATGTGCGTCCCTGTCACGTCGGCGCCTTCCCGTCAAATCTCCCAAGCTACTCCTGCCCTGCATTGCGCTGGGGCTGGGTACGTCGCCAGGGTAATATTGGTTCGTGTTCTATATCTTGGGCCCCTTTGGGGGCCGTCTTGGGGCCCTCTTGAGCTGTTTTGGGCGCCTCTTGGGCCGTCTTGGGGCGCTCTTATGCCGTCTTGGGGCCCTCTTGGAAGCCTATTGGGCCGCCTTCGGAAAGCCCAGTAATTAGGCGAGAGCGCCGAGCAGGGCGGAAAACACATATTTTTGCCTCTTGGGGCCCTCCTGCCAGGCCTCTTGGAGGCCTCTTGGAGGCCTCGTGTGGTGTCTTGGATGCCTCTAGGGCCACCTTGAGGCCACCTTGGGCGTTCTGGAGCGATCTTGGGCCGACTTGGGGCCCCATCTGACCATGTCGGAGGCCTCTCGGAGCTATCTGGGCTCTTTTGGGGCCCCCTTGGGCCGGGTAGGCTGACGCGAGCGATTCTGGCTGCAGCAGCAGCACGGCCTTCCCGGTGCTGCATGAGCCGTGGGGCCCTCCACTTCGTGCCAGAGGCACGGTGGCGGATGACGGGAAGCGCCTCCGGCATGGACCGTTTGTTGGTGGTTAAAGATGATTATGGGATACGGATTGCACCTGGAAATTGGCTGGCGGATGACGGGAAGCGCGCTCAGACTCGAAGAGTCGCGCGATGGACGTTTGTTTAGACCCGGAGGGACATATTTTTCAATTGGGGGGGTGCAGGAGGGGAAGGGCTCGGGGTCCCTAAACAATCTGAACCTGGCGTATGACGGGAAGCGCGCTCCGATTCGAAGAGTCGCGCGATGGACGTTTGTTTAGAACCGGAGGGAAAATCAACTGGGGGGAGGTTGAGGAGAGGAAGGGGTCGGGGTACTCTTGAACCTGGCGGATGTCGGGAAGCGCGCTCAGAAGGCCCTGGCTCGGGCGATTTTGGCGTCGCCTCTCGTGTCTGCGGGGTCGCAAGCCCCCGCACAGCATGATCATCAGTCGATGGTGGGACTTGTCATGTTTCGTTTCTCTTCTGTGCGCCATTGTTAGCCGAAGGTCACTACGCTGGAGGGCCGAGCGTTCGGTGGCGGCACGACCACCGTGGAGCTCCGTGTCGCAGGATGACAACTATGACGGGGGCGAGCCAGTGCACAGCATATGGATCTGTCACCGCGCCCACCGTGCTATGCTCGCCATAGGGTGGGTGTGGCCTGAGGTCGACCTTCATGAAGGCCAGGACGTTGCGGCTCGCTCAAGCTGTGTGGTTACCTCAGACGGGTTCGCCCCGACTACATCATCACGCACTCCCCACAGCTAGAGTCCACGCGCATTGCTTCGCGGGACGGTATCACAATTACATAGCGGTGGCAGCTGGGACAACTGGTGGGCATACGTATGCAAGGCAAACCACACATCGACTTCTACGCCCTCTGTGGGCACGCCCCCGCCGGCAAGCCCCAAACACGACCCATCACGGCGGCTGCCCACGCAGTATGCCGACGCGACAAGGATGCTTTCTCCGACGATGTGAATCGACCCGTGGGTTGTATTCCCTCTCGATGTGCACCGTCACTACATGAAGTGGGACATGCCAGCGAGTGGAGCAAGTACCGACCACAGTGGACCGACAAGGGGCGGCGCCTGTTCGGCATCCTTCCCAAGTTTTGCATGCGAATTCTCAACACCTGTGGACCAGCAGCAGGACGCAGCACTACATGGAGGTACCCC